GAGCGCTCCCGCCGACATCTTGGGTGCGGCGTCTCATCCGCCATGTTTAGCGTGTCGCCCCGCCGCCGCCCTGCTGGTGATGGCCACGGTGCTCGCCGCCTCGTAGCGCTGCCCCGCGTCAGGGCCCGGCGAGGGCTAAGAGGCAGGGAGAGGGGAAGGGGCTGGGGGTTTTGGAGGGAAGGAGCAGAGGTGAGCGGGGCTGGCGTGAGAGCGGCGCCCCCCGAGGGCCTGTTTCAGCCTCAGACCGCAGCAGGACTCCGAAGCTCCTGCGCCCGAGTGTGGCAATTGGAAGGAATAAAAATCACACTCCAAGCACAGCTCTGTATGAAACTAGGATGTGATATGTTCTCTGCTGAGGTTTTAACCTGGTCCTGAGGGTCACACTAGTCGGTTCTGGCACCGCACACTAAGTGGAGCTTAGCGGCCTACATTCATGGTGTGTGCTTTCTTCAGTCTGGATTGATCCCAGTGGAAATTACAATGTACTTACAATCTTGGAGGTGCCTTTCACGTAAATCCCAAGGAATTGGAGCAACAAAGCCCATTTATAACTGAACAGACTTGTATTTGTGGTTTATTTTTCATGTGAAGGCCAAAGTGAGAAAAGTTAGTTACTGATTTTAATGAGCTTCCCAGAAAAATCTGCAATGCTCTGTGGTAAAATATGAAGCAACAAAATTAAGTCTTTCTAGTTCCACTATGTGGAATAAGCAAAATGAGTCACAGAGAAACTATTAGGAATCCCAGGTGTGCAGGCAGCCTTGAGACCATCTTTGGGGGGGAGGGGAGGGAATCGTGCGGCAAATCCTATTCATGCCCATTGGTAGTTCTGAAACAGCTGCAACAATGAAATGAACTACATGCCCTGACCCCATACAGGAAAAAACATTCCAGACAGACACTTGGCAATCCCTCAGTTACAGATTACACTACTCACATTTTGCCTTTGTTTTGTGTTTCATGGTACAGGACTCCCCAGTTTCTCTGGGGAACTAGAAAAGAATTTAGCCATTATGATTAAATATAGAGCACCACCATGCACATTAATGCCTCTTCTAAGGAAGTTCTTACATTAAACTATATGTATAATTGATTGCCACAAGCATTTATGTATATGCATGTCTGATAACGTTATTTGCTCCAGTGTCAACCCATCCTTCCATAGTCAATCAACAGACAATAGAGAAACTTATTTGAAATGTGAAGTCTCATTTTTCAAATAAACCAAAACAGAGACTATAAAATGTATTTACAGTGTTGGTGGTAGATAAACATTCACACTAATGGGGAAACATACTGTGTGGTCCAAAGCACAGCAGCCTAGGAGTAAGGGAAAACCACTCTGGATGAGGCTTGTGACCTCGCTGCTGGGTAAATGCATAGAGTGATTTCACATTCACTTTGATGTTACTCTTATTTATCCCAGCTGTGAAATGGCTTCAGGGAATGTTCCTGTTTAACCATGAGAATTGCTTCTAACATCCAAGAGGAAAAGCTAAGGTCAAGTAAATGCTCTGTCCAAGTGTTATTGTTGTTCATGCCTCTGCTAGCTTTATCATCATCATAGCTGCCTCCGGAGAAGACGGCAGGGGCATCTATTATTTAATGTCTCATGCAATCTTACCTACAGCCTGGCTGCTGTGTAGAGTGGTGTATTCCATTCATATAAGCGTCTTCCTGTACAAAAAAAGGAGCAGAAGCAAGCAACATAGCAGAGAGCAGCAGAAGGATGACCCAATAGCAGGAATACATGCAGAATTGACTGAATTTAAGGTTGCTGAAAGAGAGGAACTGATGCCACTGAGGCTATTGCTGAACATAAAACAATTTAACAGCTATACAAAACATAAGGACAGACTCTTCTTGGCAATCAATATAGGTTTCAAGTCCATCAGCATCACCATCCAAAAGTTTAGACTCCAAACTATTAAAAAAAGGAGGCAAATGATGTCTCCTCAGAGAAGAGGCCAGAGTAGTTCATTTAACAGCAGGATGTAAATCTAATAATGCTTCCCCCCCCCACCCCCCTCCCTGAAAGGCAGTAAGAGAAGACTTCAAGACACAAAAGAGACTTAATTGAATTAAGGAATTTGGGCAGGGCAGTTTTTGTTTTACTGTTACTTAAACTTATGGATAAACAACCAAAATATGTGACTGGTTTTGTGGTTACAAAACACAACAGAAACAGAAAACACCCTCTTTTCTCTTGGAAGAAATCCAGTAACTTCTTATCACACGGATCAATTACATGTGGTTCATTGTCAGGGTTGAAGATAGTTTGTTCGTCCTACTTCTTCTTTTCTCCACTGTTGCATTTGAAGATTTGTAGTTTGAGGTACTCAAGGATATTTAAACAAGAACCAGAAGCAAAATAATTAGAAGCCAGAGATACAGAGCAGCCATCAAGAAAATATATAATAAAATATTGTTCTCATCTTAATCAGGAATCTTGATTATTTCCATAAAAAGTATTATTGAATCACAACAATAATAGACCTGAAGGAATTAATGTATTCCACGAGGGGGGGGAGGGGGGCGGGGGAGAAGGAAAGTCTGTTACCCATGGTGGACTCTCCATACTTACAACAGTCTCCTACAGGATGTTTCAAAGCTTCAATCCACTGAGAGAGAGCAAACACTTTCTATCCTAACTAATGTCAAAACTGGGCACTAACTGCTTATACATGGTTAACAAGTTTGTTAACATTTCAAAATTTCAAGACTCTCAGGGAGCAACTGATTGAATGCTCTTCTAGCTCCAAACAGAAACTACAACCTAAGAAAATCTAGAACCTGCACATTGAAATATAATCAGTAGTCCCAGATTAACCATTTCTGTATCTCTTTTCTTGCACCTACACCTATCAATATAATTCCTAGAAACTTTCACAGTATACCCCAAGTACTGACATATAAATGCCTTCTTTCTAGAAAGGAGGTCCTCTCTCCATATTTATAAGAAAAGTGGTACCCAATGTGTGTCACCTGCATTACTGAGTCAGCAGTTAACATTTTGCATCTCACTCTGCAGCTGATACCTGATAAAAAGTTAATCAAATTGATTCTGGCATGCATGCATGTTCCTCTCATACCTGAGTAACGTTTTCATCAGGGTTTAAATACCTAATCTCACATTTTCTTGCCCTTTTCACATAGAAATGTGCTCTTTTCACAAGGTTAAGCTTTAAAAGTTAGTTCTATTTTCTAAAGTTATGCACACCTCCTCCTTTCATCCTGAAAAAGCTTAATAACATTTTATAAAATCTTTGGCACGAGTCTAGCGCTGATATTGTAAAAATAGTTACTCCTCATTGCTAAAACTTAACTGTTGTCAGCCTGTTCCATTGAAACGACACCTTACTGGCTCTATCCGTGCCTGGCTGTTGCAGCTCACGTCTGCACTGGCCTTGTGTTTGGTCACAAGACATAATTAAAACATGCAGTTTCATAGTACCTAAATCTAGCTCAGGAAGGATTCTGGGGCTACCTGTCTGTTCCCCTTGGGGATTACGGGCAACGTGGTCTCAGTTTGGACAATTAAATACTTGTTTGCAATGGTTTGAAGCTACCAGACCCAGAGTGCTCTTGGTATTCAGAGAGGCTGGCAAAGTAACGATATCACTTCTCATATTTATTAACTCTGGGAGCGCTGGCAGGTTGTGTGCTACTACGGTGTTTCAGCTGCACTGAGTGGAACAGTTGCTGTCTTCCCTGACTATGAACAAGCCACGGTGGTCTTCTCTTTAAAGCTTTTGTGTTTCTCTAACGGAAAGAGATAGTTCAGTTACCCAGCGAGCAGGTTTAGCATAGCCATGTAGTGTGCTCCTGTTTGTTTCAAAACATGAAGGCATTGCTTAGAAGTGCCTATAAACTATAGGCTGTTTAATTTCACACAAGTGACAAGGCATATTCAGTTTGTGTCAGTCTGTGGGAGGATTACCGGGAGCCCTTTGGAGCAGAACGTGCCAGTGGTGAGGAGAGGTGTGGTCTGCTACCAGTCACCAAATGCACCTCTGCTTGCCTTTAGGAGGGTGCGGAGCGTATTAATACAAGAGGCCAAAGAGATGACAGGGAGGCTGTGCTATAAGACAGTATTGCAAAACACAGACCGCTTCCATCCGAAGGCAGGCAGTGGGGGGGACGCAGCAGGCACAGGCGATGCTCTGTGATTCCTCACCGTTTACAGTGGGAGCAAAGGGAAACCTTGGGCTCCCTTTAGCTTCGGGATTTTTGTCGTGCGCAGCCAGGAAAATTATGATAAGGGTTAGAGTCAGAAGAGAGCTATAACTGAGTGTGGAGTTGGGAGGTGGGAGGCAATCCTCTGTGCTCCGCCAGACAGTGGAGTTAGGGCTGGGGCAGGGAGTGGAGGGCCTTTGGAGCTCGAATCCCACCAGGGTCCTGGTCGTTGTGGGGT